TTCCATGACTTTAACTTCATTCTGGACCTTTAGTAACAATTAATGTAGCAAAGGAATCAAAGCTCCACTTATCAGCTGTTCAAACTTTCAAACACATCTCAAAGTGTTCATCAGTGAGACTAGTGGACCTTTGAGCTTATTCTTTTGTAACATAACTATTATGATTATTAAAATAGCTGTTGATTCATTTTAACTAGTACGTATCGACCAATCTTTTCCTCCCTGTAATAAAGTGCTTATTTCAATTTTCTCGCAGTAGTTGATGAATAATGCCTTTATTTCCTGACTCCAGATAACAACCTGTGTCTGTTTGGAATGATCTCTTATTTTCAGTTTCAGCCTCCCATGAGGCCGTGGGGGGCTCTCGATGGGAGGTACAGAGCATTCCACCTGGACTGTGGTGCGTTCGCAGGCCGCTGCGCTGTTTGTGTTGCATTACACATCGCAGCCCTCACAACTCCACTGGCTCCACTGGGCTTAGGCCCCTAGGATTTAAGCACGCAAAGCCAGAGGGACCAAGGGAAAAGAGGGAGAGGAATGAGGATGAGATGTGGGATGATGGTGTGTGTGTGTGTGTGTGTGTGTGTTTGTGTGTGTGTGTGTGTGTGTGTGTGTGTGTGTGTGTGTGTGTGTGTGCGTGTGCGTGTTGCTCTGTCCTTCTACGGGTTGACTCCTCTGTCTCCTTGTTGAGGTGTTTTGTTAACCTCGTCTCTGGGAAGCGAAGGGTACACACAGCAGAGTGAGCAGATAAAACGAGACAGGGCACTCACACACACTCGCCCAAGGCCTGTGCTGAACCTTTCCCACGCGTGTGTATGCGCACACACACAAACACATATCCAGAAAATCACCTGAATAACAGCTTATCCAGTGTTTATTAAAGGTTTCCAGGGTGAATGCCAGGCCAGCGGGATGCCATCCAGCTGTTTGTGTCTTTGTGAGTGAGGTGCTGCCCGTCCGACAGGCAGGTTTCAGTCCTCTTGTGTTTTCTCCGTGGGTTGTTTTCATCACTGTCTGATAGTCTCCCAGCTGGATGCCTCAGCCCGAACGTAGTGCCCTGCCCAAGGCTACGCTGCACAACAAAGAGGGATCAAACGCCGCACATGGCTTTGATGAAAGTCTTGCAACTGCAATGGAGCAAATCAGAGCAGTGCAGAGCTGGTTGCTGGACTCGATCCACATAAGGAGGGAAGGCAGGAGCCGTAGATCTGAGAGGAGAAAAAACCTCACAGAGAGCTTGAGGAGAGACAGTGGGGTTCAGGATTCCCCCAACACTTCAGATTTAATGCAACAAATAATGTCCACGCTCCAGAGATTTTGGAAATTGTATTATCAGGTCTTATTCTCACCACTGTTATCTTTCCACATTTTCATATCACTGGTCACACACGGTGAAATTACTTTCAAAGGGTTCCATGTCTGAGGTGAAACAATGGCCAGAGTGTTTTATTCCTTCCAGGTTTGGTAAAGCAGTAGTGTGTAGCTTTTAAAAGAAGAAATAACACATTCCTCCTCTCAGTGAATTCTTAAACAATAAAACACACCCTTACTGCTACAGCCTTACTTGGTCTGGTATGACCAGTAGCTTCTGATGGTTAAAGGTCCAGTGTGTAATACTGAGGATGATCTATTGGCAGAGATGGAATATGATATTCATAGGTATGTTTTCATTAGTGTATTTAATCACCTGAATATAGGAATTGCTGTGTTTTCATTACCTCCGAAAGAGACATATTTATGCCGCGGGTTGCCTTCTATGTTGAACTGCTTTGTTTCTAGTAGCCCAGAACGGACAAACCAAACACTGGCTGTAGACAAGGACTTTTGCATTTTCTCCTACACGCTTCACAGTCTGTTCTCATTCCCAGGTTGTCAAATAGAGAAGTGAGCAGTGTTCAGTTATGTCTCTGTTTTTTCATATTGCGTTTCCATTGGTCCATTTTGGACCCATAAAGACCTCTAGCCTGTAGCTATAATATCCAGCAAAGGTTGCAGTCTTGATGCTGGTGGTTTCACTTCTAATAAACCCACTTTGCAGCAATTTAGTGTGTGAAATGTTTGGTAAAATACATTTGGCTACAGTTAAAAAATCCATATAAGCTGAAGTTTTTGACCTCTTGGAGGGAACAAGGTAAAGATACAATATTGATATATTATCTGTCAACACTAGCATTCATTTGGATGGATTAGCATTCACTTGTTGTGTTGCTGTTCCCCTCATTAATGAAAGTCCAATATTCACTCTCTTTTAGTTCTGTTTTTGGTCTCCTGAGAAAAATATTTATATCTGCTGTGGTGGGTAGCATACAGTGGGTTCAACAGAGCTTGTCATATATTTTTTAACAGGGAGCTAGAGATGCTAAATGTTCCATACACACTGAAACAACGCTGGGTTAAAATAGCACTGACACAATCCACTGGGTAATAAATGTATCAATTTATTACGCAATGTTTTTTAGTGTGTAGAGCTGAAGGCAGGAGTTACACATTCAGTCATTACATCCATCCATTATTAATAATGAGATATTGATTAGTGCAGCCTTACACAGAATGTTGGGAGTTCATGACACACACTCTGATGAAGGATAGGGGGCCTTGGCACTGATCCTGAGGAAACTGAGTCAACCTTATGAGAGAGTGAGGTCACCCCTGAGGGAGGATGTGAGCGGATGTGAATGAGATGAGGTGGAGTGGCAGAGAGTGGGGTTATCACAGCGATGAGTGCTAAATACTGACACTGTCTGGAGAGGAAGAGAAAAAGAAGGCCATCAAAGAGACAGAGAGAGAGAGAGAGAGAGAGAGAGATTATCTGAACTGCTGAGAGGAGCAGATGAGAGGGTGCATGGAGAGGAGGAGCTGTTTGACCTCTGGAAGGATGATATGATATAATTATACTACCACATTTACAAGTAGTAATGCACCAATGATGAACTTCCATCCCTTTTACCTCTTAAGCTGACGAGGGTTAAAGAAGCTGAGATGTAGCTAACAGCTGTCCATACATAATGACATACATAATCAGCATGTCATAAACCCTTTTTGTACACAGCAGTGGTGTAAAACATTGGTAGCATGACTGTGTGTTGTGCATTACAGCTTTGTCAATAATCTGACAGCAGAATTCTCTGCAATCTGGATCTGTGCCACAGCTTGATTGAGACGGGCTAACAGGGCTTTACAGAGGTATGTGTGGTCTTGGGAACTCATAACCCAAGACTCATAAAACAAGCTTGAGAAACCTTAAGGAAAAACATGTCTACTTGTTCAGAATGATAGCCTTAAAGTTCATTTTGTCGGAATTTGTCTTTGCTTTATTATCAAGGGCCATTTTGATATTCAAACTCTTTCAACTGTAGGAAGGAACCTGCTAATAAGAGTTCATTCCTTCATACTGAAATACTTGTCACATCCATTACATTCCTTTAAGACTCTTTTACACAGTTGTGGCGCTACATTTCACACAGGTCGCCAGCTTTAGTTCCTCTAATTTTGGTTAGCATGTACCATTGTGTAGCCTAATGCGGTGCAAAATACGGTGGGAACATTGTCAGGCCCCAGATAGTCTGTTGTAAATGTGCCACAATTATTCTTTTAAATGGATGTGAATACATAAACACTGCATTTTTTAAACATCCCCGAAAGGAATTTGTTTAATTTTGGGAAATATACTGATTTGCTTTTTTTCTGAGAGCGATAAGACCAATGTCAGTATCTGTTGTAACTGGAGTCATAGTGTGGTTGTCCTAGATTAGCATACAAGTCTGGAAGCAGGGAGAAACTGCTAGCCTGGCTCTGTCTAAAGTCTGATAACGTATCTACCAACATTATGTAAAAAAGACAAATTGTGTTTCCTTTTTGAAATATACACAAAAGAAAGAACAATTTATCCATCCTGAAACATAGAAGGGGAGGGTGACACGAGTTGCAAATACATTTCTAGATGCCACTAAATCCTATATATTGTTAATTTAAACAAATTAGATACATCCTGTTAATTGGTCATTTTAGTTTGGCTTTTTCTTTTACTTTGGACAGAGCCAGGCTAGCTGTTTCCCCCTGCTTCCAGTCTTAATGCTAAGCTAAGCTAATTACCTCCTGATGCCACTGCTACACACACATACGTCCAGTGTTGGGCAGTAACTCATTACTAGTGATAATATTACAGTAATAATTTTACCAGTAACTAGTAGTGTAACTAATTAATAATAATACATTAATGTTGTGTAGTGCAATTTAAGTGCACAAATAAGTAATTAGAGGGCCTGAATTACACATTTGTGTGCAAAAATACGTTTTTCTGCCCTTGACACCTGCCTACCTAAACTTCGTGGAACTTTTGTTTGTGAAAAAAAAAAGTGTTTTCAAAAGTAATCTGTATTTTTGTGCCATGTTTGAAGATACAAGCATTTACTTCAACAATCTGTGTGTGAAACTGCACTAGAAAGTAGGAGTTCTTTCATATCATCTGCAAAACCTTCTATTGTCTGCAAAAACAATTTTTAGACTCAACATTTGTTAAAATGAGTGAGAAGTGTAGACGGTACATAACCAGGGCTGCTCCCTGTGGGGAGTCACTGCCAGCTTATGAGAAAACCTATTCCTGTAAGGTGCAGCTGGGACTGGAGATATGAGACTGAAGTGAGGTGAGGTGGATGTGTGAGGGTCAGGGCAACCAGACTGATGCCATTTTCTCACACATCTTAGATTGTGTGTGTGTGTGTGTGTATTCAGTATCTCCCTGACCTGTCTGGCCTGGAGGTGGTGTGTATGATAAGCCACTTTCCCTCCTCTCAGTGTCCTCCCAACCAGACATTTATCCCAAACATTCCCACAACGTCATGGGAACCAACCCACCGGACACAAGCTCTGCTTCATCTGAACAATGTCGTCAAATTCAATCATACCGCTTTTACCCAAATATGTCAGATTCTGTACTTCCATGTACTTTCAGAACACTTATTGCATACTAAAGAGATCCTGTTGTGTTTGTTCTCTGTCAGGTACCTGGCCAAGCTGTCGTCCGTGGGAAGCATCAGGGATGAGGAGACGTGCGAGAGGTTACGAGGCCTCATCCAGAGACAGGTAGACACCTCTCCTGACAATAATCAACTCTGTGTGCACAGCTCCACAACTGTGACTCACAGAGTTACAAATGCACCGCAGTGGGACTGTACAGTACCTGTGAAAGCATCTGTGTTCGGTCCATTGACATTACATGTTTTTAGTGTAATATCTTACAAATCTTGGATGGATTGCCATAAAATCTGGTACAGATATGCTAATGATTTTGGTTATCCTCTAATTTTTCTTCCGTGCCACCAGGATTTCAAATCTTTCACTTGTTCAGTGAAATATCTCAATATCTACTAGATGGATTAAATAGTATGTTGTTCCTATGTGTGTCTCTGCTCCAGGTTCAGATCTGTAAGCGCAGCGTGGAGGTAATGGATGCGGTGCGTCGAGGAGCCCAGCTGGCTATAGATGAGTGTCAGTTCCAGTTTCGCAACCGTCGATGGAACTGCTCCACTCTGGAGACCATGCCTGTGTTTGGCAAAGTGGTCACCCAGGGTAAGATTATACACTGCAGGGATCACTGTCACCAACTCCCTGCAAACATCTGGACACAGAAGGGACACAGACATACACTAAAACAAGCTTATCAGTCTTTTCTACCTGCATGCATTTACAAAATCGGGACCTAAATATATTTGATATCACCTCAAAACTGCTTCCAAAGCTGATTCGATGTGGATTACTTAATGCTATTTTAAAATATCCTGACATTTTTTGTCTTGTTTCCATTTGTATCTGGCCTCCTTCCCTTGGACTTTAACACACTCTTTATCTTTAAAACACACTTTTTTTGCCATTCAGAATGAGAAGGCCTTTTGAGTTTCATAATGAAACAATGTTACTGTGTGTGTTTGTGTGTGTTAGGCACCCGTGAGGCAGCCTTTGTGTATGCCATCTCAGCAGCCAGTGTGGCGTTTGCGGTCACAAGGGCCTGCAGCAGCGGAGAGCTGGAAAAATGTGGCTGTGACCACAATGTACATGGAGTCAGTCCAGAGGGTAGGTCTCTCTCGCTCACTCTCTCTCTTTCACACAAACACACAAACACACACACACACACATGCAGAGGAAACAGAAGCACCCAGTACATTGGACTAGATAACATTACATTAGACAGGACTAAATAATGTGACATTTTAAATAATTATTTTATTTTGAAAACGTCAGACAGATATCATTGGTAGTATTATTATGCCATCTTATCTCCATGTGTAGCCAGATTTTTTACAATATGAATACCAGGTCATGTATTACTACCATCAATACTGAAATACTGACAAGTGGCTACAAAATAGCATTCAAATGTAGTCTTTATACAATGTCTCTATCTCAATATCTTGTCATAGGGTTCCAGTGGTCGGGCTGCAGTGATAACATTGCGTATGGAGTGGCCTTTTCTCAGTCCTTTGTGGATGTGAGGGAGAGGAGTAAAGGCCAGTCGTCCAGTCGGGCTCTAATGAACCTGCACAACAATGAGGCAGGAAGGAAGGTAACTCACTGCCCTTGACTAGACCTTTTGTAGAACACTGCACTTCTTTTAGTATGGAGTCCGGAGGGGTTTTTTGTTTTCTGAACTCCATTGACTCTGAGACGAGGGAACCAGAGGTGCAAAATTCCTGCAGCACTCATTCAAGTTTTATGTTAACTTGCAATATTTTGTAGATTTGCCCTGATCCATAGGAACAGTCAGTGTGTTGGACAATACTCTGCGATTATGTGACACACTACACGATGCATTTATTAACCATTGCTCCGTTCAACGGGCCAAGCTCTGACAGTATACAGCGACTGGCTTTGACCACAGCTGAAGCTACTCTCCCATGAACAGACACTAAAAGATTTTTGTATAATATGAATACCAGGTCATGCATTACTACCATCAATACAGAAATACTGAAAACAGTAGCCAAGAAAGCATCGTTAAGCAACACAGGATTTGAACAGTGCTTCTGTTATATCATACTACTATATCATACAGCTCAGCCTTTATCTCAGGATCAGAGGGAATGCAAAACATATTGCAGGGAAACGTAAAAGAATATAAGAAAAAGAAAGTCCCACTGTGACCTTTTGGGGGTTCTGTATTTTAGCTGGTAGTTTGTCAGCAGCAGCAACAATAAATAAATAGAGATAGAGTTGTTCCTTTTGGAAAATCCCAAGTCAAGTTTCAAGCTATTACAGACAAGCTAAAGTAATTCAAGATAAGCCAGGGTCAAGTCTCAAATCTTTCTAGATAAGTCAAGTCCCAAGTCATTCAAGTTATGCGTTGTCATCATCTTATTTTAAGTTCTGCCTGTTAACCAATGGTTCTTCGGCATCTCCGCAGGCCATCCTGTCCCACATGCGTGTGGAGTGCAAATGTCATGGTGTGTCAGGCTCCTGTGAGGTAAAGACCTGCTGGAAAGCCATGCCACCCTTCCGCAAGGTGGGAAACGTCATCAAGGAGAAGTTTGACGGCGCCACTGAAGTGGAGCAGCGCAAGGTGGGCACCACCAAAGTCCTGGCGCCTCGAAACTCCCAGTTCAAACCTCACACAGATGAAGATCTGGTCTACCTGGAACCCAGTCCAGATTTCTGCGACTATGACCCACGCACGCCGGGTATGCTGGGCACAGTGGGCCGCCAGTGCAACAGAACCTCAAAGGCCATCGACGGCTGCGAGCTGATGTGTTGTGGCCGTGGCTTCCAGACACAGGAGGTGGAGGTAGTGGACAGGTGCAGCTGTAAGTTCCACTGGTGCTGTTATGTCAAATGCAAACAGTGCCGCAAAATGGTGGAGATGCACACTTGCCGGTGATGGGAGTGGGGGGGCACAGAGGGCACTGCTGATGAACAAAACAAACGCCCCACACTCATACTCCAAGGCCAGAGGGAGCAAGGAGGACTTGTGAAGCTCCCTCTCCTCCTGCTTGAAACCACCCACCTCCTACTACTGGTCAACAGAAACAGACTGAGTGGCTGAGAGGTCAAATGTCATCCTATTCATTCATCCAACGTAATGGATATCAATAGATTATGCATGGGATTTCCTACAGAGCTACAGAGGCAGTTTGTTTCTTCTAGTAGAGAGCATCTTTCACTTTCTGTCTCCCTCCCTCACTCTCATATTTGCTTTGTCATTGATGCCTCTTATTTTTGTAATGTTTAACTTATTTGTTGAGATTGACGAGGGGTGGACCTAGAAGGAGGGGACAGATGAAAGGAGATAATAAGGGACAAACTGGACCCATGGGTGGGCAGATGGGTGGGTAGGGTTAAGGGGTTGGGGTGGGGTCAAGAGGAGGGTTGTTTGCCCTCTGTCCTTGCTGCTGCTGCTTCGGGGACTCACTTTGAGTGCTGGATGTCAAAAAGGGAGACGCCGAGTCTGTCAGAGGACCGACATGAACAACAAAGAGGAAGGCGTCGCAGTCGGACTTTCTGTGATTTGCTTCCTGAGTGTACATGGCTGTGCTGTGCTGAGGTTCAGTTGCTGTCATTTATTTTGCCCCCTGCAATGCCCTGATGCTGCTCCACTCACTCACACACACTCACTCTCTTTCTGTCAGAGGGGGGATGATGATGGACAGGTGAAAGCCACTGTCAGCTGCTTCCTGTCTTTTCTGTAGGCCCGTAGCACTGGCAGGTGATGGGTATGAGACACACAAAACACACACATCCCTACAGCAAACATTGCTCCAAAACCACACGTCTATCCACAGCTGCTACCTGCAATGGGAATCCAGAAACCTTATATCAAAACAGATTCCAGATCAGATTTAAAATGATTTGTGACCATTTCAGAGCATCATATTGTGAAAATCTTGTGTGCTGATTTGGATTGATGTTGAGCTTGGACTCCTCCTGCACGTTGCCATGTGCCAAATGCTAGTTGGCTTAATGCAAATATGAGTAAACACACAAAGACATGCATGCACCAGCAAACACACACAATGTAAACACACACGTACACAAAAGGGGTCTGCCAGAGGGTTGCCAAGCATGTTCACCACGCATGATGACTGAAGCACTTTCTCTCCAAGCGCACATAGAGCCCTCGCCCCGCAGCAACAAACATCTGACCACATATTCAATTTTCCCCATTCCTCTCTCTCTCTCTCTCTCTCTCTCACACACACACACACACACACACACACACACACACACACAGTTTCCCATGCCACTGTCAGGACTCTTGTTGTCTTGTACCACCACCACCATAAAGCCAAGCTTTCCTATAATAACGTGCTATCATTATAGAGACATACTGTAGATCTGTAAAGACTTATACACTGAAGAAGACTATACTGCCTATGAATGTATGTTAATACGGAATATATGCTGTGTCAAAAATGACTCTTGTCACTTCTTTCAAAAGAAACGTGTGTGTAGGTTTGTGTGTGTGTGTGTGTGTGTGTGTGTGTGTGTGTTTGTGGATGTGCGAGGGAGAAAGAATGCCACAAAAAACAATGTTGCCCAGAAGGAAAGAAAGAACATGAGAGGATAGAAAGATGGAAAGTGAAAAGGAGCAGCTCTTATTCCACCAAGCTCTGAGACACACACACACACACACACACACACACAACCCCTGCTGACAGACATACACATATTTCAATAAAATCGTCCATTTCCCGTGTCTTTCAGCTGCATTATTATGTGGCCACAGTGTGCACTGTGCAGCATGTTGTGTGTGTGTGTGTGTGTGTGTGTGTGTGTGTGTGTGTGTGTGTGTGTGTGTGTGCTGTTTGTGTGAGGTATATTACACCCCGAGGTCCTTTCCTGCACCCCTGACACCTATAAACATAATTTATGCGCCATATATCACTGCATACAGTATATCAACCAGAGATAAATGGATGTGTTTCCCGCAGCGTTGGGAACCTGGTAGTCTGGTTTTGGGAAGAACCAGAGCGGCCACTCGGGTTTCAGAGCCCGCCTGATTGGGTTTGGGCTGAAGAGGGAACAGAGGCAGGAACACCGGGCTAGAACAGGGATTACAGTGAAATGCAGACCACATGGCACAAGGTTTTTCCCTCCTTCTGTCTCTATCAATATCATACTGCCCCCCAAATCCAGCTTTTGCTCTTTCTCCTGCAATATCTTTGACTTACGCTGGTTCCAGTCCGCTCCCCCTCTGCGGAAAGTGTAACCCTAACCACTCTCGGTCTGCGACGGTGGAGATCTGTCCTTCATTAAGCCACCATGATGGCATAGATGAGGTGGGTGGTGGTGGCCACACTGATTGGGAATGTCTGTTGGCGTGTGTGTGTGTGTGTGTGTGTGTGTGTGTGTGTGTGTGTGTGTGTGTGTGTGTGTGTGTGTCAGACAGCCACATGTACAGTAAGGCAGTCAGTCAGAGAACTGTAATGCCTTTTGTGGTTTGCTGCAGTTGTGGCGAGACAAGAGACAAGAGGCTGACAGAAGGTTTTTACCACTTAGTGTATTTGTGTATGTGTGGGAGTGTGTCAAAATTAAGATGCAATAAATATGGGTTTACGAAGACTGGTACAAATATTTGTGGAATGAAACTATTCATAGCTGATATTTTGTACTAATACTTAACATCCACACAGACAATTTTTACGCCAACATTTTTCCAAACAATGATTCTCCCTGTTTGAGAACACATCATCATGTCTTTATGTTGGTCGTCATTTTAAAAGTGTGTAAGAGTGAGTTTAGCCTGTAGCTTTTCTCAATTACTGAACCAGGAATCAGATGTAGGAAAACACTAGCCTAGCATTTAGAAGCTTTTCTTTGATAATGTTATCACACATCAATAAAAAATACTAGCACATTTCCTTATTTTGTGTTTGTACATAGCCTACAGTTCCTGTACACATAGAGGCTTAATGCTGGACATTCTTTGCTGTTACAGGATCTCTTGTAAAAAGGGATAATGTACGATATCCACTACAGCAGTTGCTGTTGGAAGTTGAGGCCATGTCTGAGCTGATTTTGAGTGAGGCTTTCTTAATTCTAGACCTGAGAGCCATGGTCTCACTTCAGCACCCTGTAGCCACAGTGTTAGCAAGAATACAGACCTATATATTGAAGGCCTATAATATGCAACACATTGTTGGCCTAAAGAAGGTTGTGAAGTCATCTAACCTTTAAATGTGTACAGTTTAAAACTTTGGACAGGCCTGGGTATACAAATTTTAAAAAATCTGTGGCTTAAGCTGAGCTAACTTTTATTAAGTATCAATAAATAAACATGGCATGTGATAAGTGCAGAACTACTTTGGTGCAGCCCACTGTACCTAAATCCCACAGACTTTAAAAGGAAGACAATACAATAAAACAACATCAAGGTAATAAATACAATTTTATTGATGTGTTGTATAATTAGCATGTTTTTCACAAACCACAGAAGCACTGGTACTTAATAAATACTTCCTGAATGTATGAGAGGTAACGAGATAACGATGGTGCGATTCCACCCTTTCACATAAATCTTCCAGACGATTCTTCTCCCAGACAGGCAGCTAATAGTTCAAATTACACCTCAGGTACCTCTGCATACCTCAGGTTAAAGGTTTTTTGATGCTGTCTCTCCTTCCCTGTTAGTGTGTGTTGTGAGTGTGAAGGGTTAACAGTGCAGGTTGGCTGGATAATAATGCCCCACGCTCATGGAACCCAGGAGAAGGCTGGCTTTAGCCCAGGGCCCGGCCCTCCCAGGCCTCTCTCAAACTCCCAGATCTCTTCAGCATACTTCTCATATTAAAAGAAAACAAGTTACACACATGAGACAGATGGTTCTTGTTTGTGATGACAGTTGCAATTCTTTCTCCTGCAGCCCTCCTCCCCTCTTCTTCCCTCTCGGCTTTCCTCTGGTGTCTCCGCTGTATTTGCCCTGAAACGGCCACGTTGTGCAACAAGAGCAGTGAGAGTCGGACTAGTGGGCATCGAGATAGAGCGTAGCTACGTACTGGTGCAGAGGACTTACAGACTGTATTTTACCTTGACACTTACAGTACACTTGTAAGTTTGATGTCATTTCTACCCCAATGATAAGTCAATCAAAAGGTGGGTAAACCTGGTCTGGTATCACCAAATGGCATATGAATAACACACCAATAATAGAAGTTATTTTGCATCATCGGACATCATCATCATTTCACACATTTCTCCTGATTTATATTTATATAAATTTATATTTATGCAGAGACGGTGTGTCATTTCATGTGTGAATTAATTTAGTGTGGCTAGTTTAAACCAAACCACAATGTTTTCCTAAACCTAACCAAGTAGTTTTGATGATTAAACCTGACCAAACTGCAGCCATTTCATAACGTCACCTGACTATTGTTATGATCCCAAGGAAGGTCACCTTTCCTGCAAGTCCAAAACTCTCAAGGTTGAAATGCATAGACATTCAAAATGTCCTTAAAAGTGGTGTGCTATTTATACGCCTTCCCATGATGTCACATTGGTAAACTGGGACCTCCAGTGCTTTATTTTCATTCATGCTTATTATGTGATATGAATGACACAATTTTTTACTTGCTAACACTGATTAGCTGCATATGAATATACTTTTAATTTAAAAAGTGTTCCTCATATACATTAATGGCAGGACAAAAAGCAAAGTGACAAAGAATAATGTAGGAATAGCTCTATAAAGGAGGTTAAGATGGTTGATCACTGACTAGTCTGAAGTCATCGTGGGGGAGGGAAACCACAGGAGAGGTGGATAATGTGGGATTGGTGGTTGACTTTGAGGAGTGATGTAGGTAACTGTCTACATTCCTCTACTCTGTACTGGTAAACCCCTGAGGGCAATGACAGACAGACAGACAGACAGACAGACAGACAGACAGACAGACAGAGACTTGGACAATTGGCAACAGAGACACAAACAGAAACAGAGAACTGTAGCCTGAAGCTTTATGAAATAGGACATTATGAAAATGATTGAATTTTCTTATTTAACAAAGACTAAACACATTACTTAACCATGCCAGTTGTGTAATCTGTGGGCGCTTGCTATTTTGGCTCCACGCATGTCTTCCTTGCGTCTTAGCTGTGTCTGTGACACTGAAATAAAATATGTTACTGAAAGAACATAATGTCAAAGGAAATGGGCCAAGAATAGAACCCTGTGGCATCCCATTACTGATGGTAACATGACTAATAATAACCAGCTGTATGGCTTTTGAAGAAAACATTAAATGTAAACAGTGTTTTCATTATTTACTCATGATTTAGATTCTACGCACATGCAAGTAATGCTGTATCCACAGCAGCCCAGCTGTTCCTTTTAACTGTTCCATCAGATCAGCTGACCAATTAATAAACAGATTCTGATCAAAGGGGTGTTACCAGCAAGTAAAAAACCCACTAGAACAACACATAGACGTCTTTTCTGATCACATTCTAAAGCTATGGTTACGGTTTGCTTTAGGTTTTAGGCACAAAAACCAAGTATGGTTAGGTTTAGGGAAACATAGTGGTGTGGGTTAAAATTACTACTTTGTTAAGTTTAAGGAACCTTCATCATTATGGTTGCAATAATACACAAATTGTGGTCATGCTTTTTAAAAAACCAACACTAGCATTGGTTGGAGAACAGGGAAAGAACAGCAGTCTCTTGTGTTAACGTCCAATGTTCTGTTGACCCATCTATCCACCCATACCTTCTTCCTGTGGGGACTCTGTCACTCTATAATAATGTCACCTGACTTCCTCCTTTTCTCCCATCATAATTACTAGGACATGGCAGCTTTGTCACATAAAATGAACATGTAATTTTGGGGCACTGGCTAAATGGACTGATGCTGTCACTCTCCTTGGGAGGACATCCTCTAATATCCTCCATCGATTTCCGTGTCACAGGCTAGAGCAAGGACATCTAATCAGCAGAATTTTTAACAAGCAGGACTAAGACTAAGACACACAATGAGCATGGTTAGCATTCAGAAAGCTTAAATACTTGCAATCCCTCACTGAGGGAGCTTTTGATTGTAGTGAATGTCATGCACTCATCTCGAGGCCATCCAGCTTACATTTTATCACAGCACAGAGAGATCAGATAAGGACGGATCAGATTGAGAAGGACGAACATTCAGGAGGAGTGAAAGTGACAACACACTCCCCTGTTGATGAGGGCTTTAGCTGCCACAGCTTCATCTCTGGATGCTGGTATTGAGGATCACTGTGAGCTTACTTCTCCACACACACACACACTCTATCGGTGGTTATAGCTACACATCTGTCATCGGGGAGATTTCAACTGAACTGAAAAGAACTTTCCCTTAACACCTGGACACTAAACCCATCTGAAGATGTGTGTGTGTGTATATAGGTGTGTGTATGCGGGTGAGAGGGGCTGAAGCGTGTGTGTTACATGTATCTATTAGCCAACAGCCACCTGCCGTGTCAAAATAATCCTTGCAGTGACCAGTGGTAGCGTCACTTGATGATCGTCTGGTTGTCATACACGTACTCGACTCACACGTAGGACACACACTCATGAACACACAAAAGACATCACGATGAGTACAATGCCTCGGATCTGTTTCTTTCAAGATAAACATCTTTGTAACATCAGCAACACAATTCAACCACAAGTACAGCATTACAATGTGTTACATATCAAATCTAAGAATTAAAAGTATAATAGAAAAACATTACAGCAGAAATACACTGGGTGTTCAACAGCACCAGTTAAACATGAAAAAATTATTGGATTAAAATGAAATATAGTATGCAGGGGAGATGTCATCGTGCACTCCTTGAGCTGTAACTGGCCACTCCATCAGATTGGCTTGTTTTCACAATTTATCATATAATACATATCATGTACGGAGCTAACTCAGTGTACTTTTGCGGCCAACGGATTTTCATTTTGAAATAAGTAAACCGAAATTGGGGGAAAAAAGTGTTTTCTGATATGAAAATAAAAAACAGAACATTAAAAAAAGGTTTTACGTTTTCTTGTTTTGAAAATAAAAACAAAAAACGAAGAAACGACCCGTTTTGTCCTCCATATTTATAAATAATTTCCTGATTTTGGTTTTCTCATTTCAAAACGGAAATTTGTTGGCCCCAAAGTACACTGACCTATCTAAAGTATACTTTTTATTTCTGTGCCATGCCAATATCTGGCCCTCTCATATGGGATTACAGGTCACAAACAACAGCAGGCTGTAAGGCTGGTTTGATCCCCCCTCTGAGACACTGAACCCCAACCTGCTGTCAGGCCACTGACTATCAGCACTTTGGTTAAAATCGCTATATAAATGCAGCCATTCAACATTTAAACCTTACAATCGACATTTCTCGGCTCTGATTGGTTGTTTTCATTCAGGCCCGGTGGATTCTTGCAAATGCCATTAGGAGCACTAGGAGGAGCCAGAGGAACCGGATTTTCTCACAGATTATCTGTCTCATGTAATACTGTCAGGATTCAGTGAAAGTTTCAGCAAATATGACAAAAAGTTATTTTTATAAAAGTTACCTACTGCAGCTTTAAACCTTGGCATATAATGAAATGGACAAACTATTTTTACTATTCAGCTACTATCTGTGCTGCTTTTTACAGCACTTTATCCAACTGCATGGACCTTTTCTATGGATTAAATGTAAAAAGTAAGACAGAGCTCGGGGGGACAAGCCAGCCTTGAGTTCTTACTGTAGCTGAGAGATAACTTTCCCCACATGATTTACAGTATGGCTGAGTTAAAAATAAAGATGGCCCCTCTCCCTTTTCTCTTACTGGGGCACCTCATCCTACCTGCTGGAGAGCATTTGGACCAGGCAGACGGAGCCAAACCTGCACCTCTACACCACAGCCAACATCTACATGAAAACCACATTGTGTTCCATGTGTTGGCAGGAGCTTTGGACACTGGAACAGCAGAGGCTGTCAAAGGTTCAGTACCGGCATGGCTAAGCAAGCTGTGTCCTAGCTCGAGCCAGTATTGGAGATTTATTTTCATGCGTACACGTAGCAGGCGTGCCTCCACACTGTATATAGCTGAGACGTCTGAACACTGATTTACTGCTGAGCTCTGATAAACTGCTAAAATCCTCAGCATTTTTTTCATCACAAGTCACTATCTGTGCAGATCATCATAAAATCATCTCATAAAAGAGGGCGCAGCACACACACAGGCAGCTCTCCGCCAGCATTGTGTGTGTTTCAGGTTTCTCTGGTGTCCTGGTGGGTTGTCGGGTCGTTACATCCCCGCCTCTGCCTGCTCAGCCAGGCTGGATGGTGATTGGACAACTCCAGAGGACAAAACATTTAGACTAATTTGTCAAATATGATGAAGACCAATGGAAGCCAGGTGGTGCGCCTCTGCATTTGTGTGAGGACTTGGGTTGAGGAGCGTGTGTGTGTGTGTGTGTGTGTGTGTGTGTGTGTGTGTGTGTGTACACACCAATATTTCAGCAGAGAGGAATGCCCTTCGTTCAGCCTGTGTGATAATTAATGGCTGTCAGCGTCTCTTTAGTGGAAGAAGGCGCTGACAGACAGCACTCCAGAAACGCAGGGAATGTGTGAACGCCTCACAGGGGTGGATGAGGGTGGAGGAGGGAGTCGGGGATGCTGGGGGTACAGTACAGCATCCCACCCAACCGCCTGTGGCTGATGATCCAGGTCACCAAACCTGGGATATCGCCCTCATTTGCTGCCATTTGAGGAATTCCTGGACATCTGTGTGAGTTGTGTGAAAGTGATACTGATCTCTCAACACCCACATTACAGTCATACACTGTGTGTGTGTGTGTGTGTGTGTGTGTGTGTGTGTGTGTGTGTGTGTGTGTGTGTGTGTGTGTGTGTGTGTGTGTGTCATGGAATCATAAACCTAGAGGAACCTACTTTGGAGTGCTGTATATTAATTGCATTTCTGATCTCGATTTCCCTACAATGATTGAGAGATTGAGAACATTTTTACCATCCATCACAGAGAGATGTGAAATGTGTCAAACACATCACACGTAGAGTTAAAACTTAAAATAAAATATGAATATCCAGATGTAGCAAAGTGTAAAATAACTGGCTAACAGGTAGGGCATGGGCCTTGATGGTGGTTGAGGCTAAAACCTGTTAGAAACAGTTTTAATACCTACCTCTTCAGCCTGGCTTTTAAGTAGGAATGTTTTTTTTGACATGATTTACCTTCTTTTACTCAATTATCTTATTGTATTTCATTTTGTAAATCTCATTTTCAATTCATTTTAACTATATATGTATATATATATAGATATATATTATTATTAAATACAATCGCTTTTATATGTATTTCAATGTCATTTTTATCATTGTATTCTATTTTTAAATTTTACTTCATTTTTATTCCATTCTGTCTCAATATCTTCTTGTCAGTCATCTGTGAAGCACTTTGACCTGCACTAAACTGTATGAAAGGTGCGATACCAATAAAGTTTGATTGATTGACAACTCCTATTTATTATATTTCACTTTCATAAAGCTGGGACAGTCACAAGAAACAGATTTTAAAAATTCAGAAAATGAGCAGCCTGGATCATTTGTTATTCATTCGATTGATATTGAGCAGCAGTATTGAACGGTTGAACGACTCTTTCAGACAGAACACAAAGTGTTTCTGCTGATAACTGAACATACAACGTTTCAGAAAAGGTGTACCACAAGGCTCCATACTTGCTTCTGTTCTGTTTTATATTTTTTGTAAAAATATGGGAAGGAGCATTCGGCCAGCAAAGATTCATTTTACAAACCTGATATAGTTAACGAGTCATCAATTATCAAGTTGTCCCTGATTTGTTCCTGTACTTGTTTCTTAATTAACTAATCACTCCTACTCTATAAAATAGGAATTATTAATTAACTCATGGTTCACTGGCAGTTAGCTCCTCATTTGTTCTCTGGTAACTACCCAATATTTTGTGTCCCTAATGGTGATCTGTTACTGGTTGTTTTTTTCAAGGCTATGCATTTTCTTTAACGAAATATTCATATTTCTGTGAGAATAGACCCAATGGTAATTTTGACACATTGACAACATAGTGGTTTTTTTTTCATTGTTTGTGCGGTGTCTAAACATTCTACTCAAATTTTTCCATTATGTTGCGTTTGTGTCAAATTATCTTTCAAATCTTGGAGAAGCCAATTTAGTGACATATCAGTTAATGTATGAATTAACATACCTTAACTGGGACCTAACTATTATTATGTGTGAAGCAACAAGAATTCACAATGCATCCTGCAACAGTCCCAGATGAATATAAAGCAGCTTTGAAGAACCAAAAATTGACAACTTCAAACTTGTTGGTATGTTTGGAACTCTGTAGACCTGTTTAATGTGATTCTGATTCTATATTCCTTCAAGTTGATTTCTTTCCACATATTTAATGCATTTTATTTTTGCTTTTTAAACTTTTAAAATCCTCATACTGTGGGCCTTATGCACCTGCACCATGCAGACAGAGCAAGCAATATCAATATCCATGTATCTGTTTATAAAGAAGAAATAAATACACTTCAGTGGAGTTTGTCTACTTTCTATCAGCTTCAATGTTACAAAAGTCAAGGGTGTTAATGTTTGGGTGGACACTACCTCCTGCTGGCTAATCACGCCACTACAGGCTCATCCAGCTGTGATTGAACAGGAACAGCTTGGCAGTAGAGAACTGGATGCAGTGATCCTAAATATAGCTTGCACAGGGTCAATCACACTTATATAACCTGATAAATATATATGTATGCACATAGCATGTAAGCCACTTTGAGTTAGGTCCACAAATATGAAGGCTGTACCTTTGAAAACTGGTTGAGCGGCTGTTTTGCTGGAGGATGAAAAAGCAATTACTTCTCCCTTTAAACCACTAAAATATTGAAAGAAACAGAGATAACTTTCCACAGTCAAAGAAATTATTATATTTGGTAAGTGGGTTATTCTATTGTCACAATTAAAAAAATAATGGCAAGGGAAAAGTGGTAAAGGCAATTAAGGTATAAGTTTAATATTTTTGAAAAGAATGCATATACAAAGAACAAAGACTTTAGACAAAGCATTTGGTTTTGCACCAAAACAACAACAGGTTATAATAATTATACTGACTTGGACTGGATATCAACCCAACTCTAAGCCACCAGTTAAGAAAAACAAGAACCAACCAATCACAAGAATTACCAAATTACTAAACAGTCTCTCTGCCATTGGAGGTTTTTATTCAACTAAACCAATCTTTTGGTTATCTTGGTAAATAAACTGGCAGGTAAGAGTTCAGATGAGTTCCGACCCCTAAATGTAAAAGGAGTGAAAGTAACCTTTTTTTTTTATATATTTATATATATAAAATAAAAAATAAAACACAAACAGAAATAAACAAAAAGAAACAAAAAAAAGATTTTGGTAAAAACACCTGGAGCCTACATCAACATTGTGTGCCAGCTTACATTATAATTACATCTGTTAAATCTATCATTTAGAACAGAGACCAAGGCTCAGCTACATGCAGCACCGTACAGTTTGAGTGGGTCCAACAGAGCGGACAGCCCTTCACACCTCAGACACACAGCCTGGATAAAAACACACTACGGGAAGGCACCAAATTCTGACCTGGCACAGAATTCTGGTGGAAATTCATGTTCATTGATCAGTTTTCTAAAAATGGATCTTTAGATTTGGCTGCCAGTGGGAACATTTGTTTCACACGGACGTCTCTGTTGGACCCGCTCTAAGTGTACGGTGATGACGATGTTAACAACCGGATCCTGCTTTACCCTCCCTTGGTCCCTGGCAACGCATAAAAGAACACACCGCTTGTTCCGCTAACACTGTTTAAGTTCCCTGCTTCTAAAAGGCCAATTCCTGTGGTCGACTAGCGGACCCGTTACTACTGGATGCCTTTAGCTCTTCAAGTGATTACCACACTCCAAACGGACTGCGACTCTGCACTGAGAAAAGTCCACACTGAGAGGACTGGATACTAGGTGGCAATATTGACTAGTTCAATTTCCCCGGTGAGAGTTGTGTGGAGATTTAGCCTTACCGAGTCCCGTGAGACCTGCACAGTTTCCTTAGTGGTTAAGAGCGCGTCTATGTGGAACATGGAATAAATATCTCAGACGTGTCATCGTGTGTTTGTGGAGAAAAGGGGGGTGTTGGCAAACAAAAACAAAACAACACTACTCTGTTAGCATTTCTTCTGGTAGTGCTGAGAGAGAACGTAGGGGATCACGTGTGCTCGTCAACAGAGGGGGCGGGTCCGTCAGCGCGGGCAGCCGCCAATCAGGCAGCCGGGATGGGCTTGGGGGCGGGGCTTATATCCACAAAACCTTTACACTGGCTGAGGACAACTAAATGGCTGGGCATCTAAAAGTTGATTAGGGCCACGGCACCGGCCGAGTCAAAATCAATCTATCAGACGCTCGACAGAATGAACTCTACTTGTACGTAAGCACGGTGTCTGCGTCCCCGTCCGAGGCCACGCCACCCTGCCCCGGAGCCCACAGCGGCCTGTTTGCCGGGGTTAGGTTGATCTTTTGTCCCAAAAACTCAGACTTATGGGGTGAAGCTTCTTATTATTGCAGACAATTATCTGGAACTTGGTAGGCTGTTTTCTTTCTAGTCTTCCCTGTGGAGGACAATGCTGTCAACCAGCCTTAGCAGAGCAAAGGAAAAGGGATTGGGGAGCTGGGGCGGGGGGCTTGTGTTTGCGTGTGTTTGTGTGTGTGTGTGTGCGTGCGTGTGCGTGTGTGTGTTTATTTAAGATGGATGCATGTGTTAGGTGTGTGCGCTTTGAAAAGGGAGGAGCCTCTCATAGCAGCACACATTTGCGTTTCTTCTTGGGCTCTGGGGGTTCCAATGCAGCCAATATCGCCTCATCAAACACATTCTTTAGGCCTTTCTGTGAACACAAACACACAAACATACAGCTCAATGGGGGGGGGGCACTCAAACACACACAGGTCAAAGGAAAAAAGGTAGAGGGAAAACACAATATAAACAGCTTAAACAGAGGAAAAATAACTGGGTGCAAACAAAAGCAGGATTTAACATCATTTAGTGGTCATAAGAAATCGTGGAATGTGAGCGTGCTGTAGGAGACCAAAAAAACAACAACAAATTAAGAAAATTCTGTTTTCCTATGAATGTGGGTATTTCAGTTAGTTGTGAGAGTCAGATTAGGGTATAAGTGTCAACAACACAAAAATCACATGCGTTTTCTGTGTGCAAAGTGCAGCCGAAGTGTGAAGGCTGAAATCAAAGGCAAGTCAAACAAGAAAGTGGAGGAAAAAAGAGAGCATAACCCCTGACGCAAAACACAAAAACGGAAATGGAACCTGAGCATTTTCATTCCACACCGCCTGTTCTTCTTTTAATTTCACCGGCTCTGCTCGTCGGATTAAAACTGCTGGCTGACTCACTACGAGAGGACAGCTCAACCCTCAGCCTCAGAGGAGAATGTTTGGTGTTCTCTTTGTATTTGTCCCGGAGCACAAGCTTGGTCATGTGAAGTGACCGGCACTTTGCAGACAACCAGTAAGCCCCTCGCCGCTGCTTAACTCAGTCCACTAACCCGCTAAATTCTTCTCTGACAAAGCGCAGAGAAAAGAAGGGAGCCAGAGAGAGGAGAGCAAGTTCATGTGTTCTTTATTAATTAATTTCACAGGTCATTTCACACAATTATAGCTTCCTTTTTTTAAATTATCTGGACTTCAAAGACAGCAGGACATCAGTGTCATATATAGGGAAAGTTGGGCCAAACAAGTCAGAAAGTATTTTACAGAAGACTACTTTACGAAACATCAAGTGTAGCTTAGCTATGAACCAGATCAATCAGAGAACCACCAGGATGCCCAACAGGAAATCATGTTGTTAAAATGGCCCAACACTCCCTATATATGACTGTAGTACTTAAACCCCCGACATGACAAGTTCTGTTTAATCAGACATCAACAGTAGTACAAAAAATACATTAGCATTAGAAATGGAAGTTTCTGTTTAGTGTTGAGATCAATCTCAGTGTGGAGCCATGTGAAGCCACCGCCCTCGCTTTAGTCCAGCCCCTCCCCACATGAACTACTACTACAGGACAGTGGGAGTGACTAACTAAAAACAATGGAATCCCAAATTGCATCCCACATCCTCTGTAAGATAGCGCTCTACTGTTGGCCAGGGGCCAGCTTAATGAGCGCCGGGCCGAAGTAGGCAGACTAGGAATGATACAGCGGTGTGGAGCAAGATTTGTGGTGTAAAGCTGACATACTCCACTCCAGGAGTAAGATATGAAGTACATTAACACACCAACCACACCAAGTGTCAGCGGTTAGAGGTTAGAAAAGGCAACAACCAGTAAAGTCATTGAAGTTCAGAGAGGCCTTGAGTCAGTGAATCAGGCCATGTAACAAAGATTAGTTGCAATGCACTCTCAATACAGAGTAGTAGTTTGGGTTGGGAGTTAGGTTGGTAGCTGACTGGTGGATTGGTTAGTTCGATGGCTGAGAATGAGATTGGTCTAGATGTTAAAAGCAGCAAATGTAAAGAGATAGAAAGAGAGGAAAGGAATGAGACGGGGTAAAGGAATGAAGAATGCAGTGAATGATGGCAACCAGAGGAGGAGATGAGAGCAGCGGCACAGAGAGAGTTTAAAATATACAGCATTTCCTCTTTCTCTGCGTCTCAGGTGGCTCTAGGGCAGCTAGGATAGCTTCGTCAAATACATTCTTCAGCCCTCGCTACAGTGACAGGAGAGGGAAGAGAACAACAGCACAATTAGCACAGCAAACACAGAAAGAGAAAGATGGGAGGAGGAGGAGGAGGATAAGAGGAACATGGCAGAACAAGGAAGGAACAGGTCTGCGTGAAACAGAAAGAAGGGATGAGATTTTCATGTGTGAAGGACATGCGAAGATGAAGCGCGACGTGCGATAGAGTTGAGATGGACTCTGACTGCGGAGAGAAAGCGCAGTCGCTCAACAGTGAGCTGAAAGTGAGGTGTGGACCGACTGCTGAGATCCCCGACAGGAAACAGGAAATGACATCAGCAGCTATGCAACAGTTGTGCTGGGGAGAGAGGGGGAAGGAAGGAAGGAGCGGGGGGGGGGGGGGAGCTACACCTCAGCTCCATCAACACTATTGTTCTCTGAGGCCAAGCTCATCGGTTCTCCTCTGAGTCATGTTCCCTCCTCAGGGACGCACCAATGCAGACACAAGCAGTCGGGACTCCATCGAGCTGATAAACTCATAAAAGCACTGACTGATTTATTAAGACAATCCAACAGACGTACTGACTACTACAACGGTATATCTAATACTGAATTCATTCATGCCGTCTACTTCACCATTTCCAATAATAGCATTTAATTAAAACTGAAATAGTCAAATAAAAAAATTTGCCAGACACGCTAATGAAGAGGGTCCTCTCACAACCACAGCTCTTCTCCCAAAATACAGACAACATTCACAGCATCTCATTTGAATTTAGAGTCTTCTTCATTCTGGTGACAGCAGCAGCTTGTTGCGCAAATCTCTGTTATGTTATTCATTATTCATGACAATTTAGCAGCGCTCCAAAATATGTTCAGTGCAGCAGTTTTCACTATTACTGTGTCACCAAGTCAGGTCTCCCTCGCATTTTTGCCTTAAGTCATGTCGAGTCTCACAGCATATAGATAGCTTGCGTTTTTGTTCACATTATTCATACTATCTGTTTCCATCAGCTCAGGGTTTGGGTATATCTCAACTTTTTCAGGACTTTTTGTTTTTTACTTTTAGGACATCTGGTTACCCTACACTCTACATATAAAACTGCCTAAACTGCTCCTTTCACCTGCCTTATATCGCCAAAGGCAGGCTGTTAAATGTAAGCAGGATACACACTACAGTCTGAAGCAAGGTTTCTAAGCCATACGGGAAACATCTGATGATTTACAATTAGCAACACCACTGAGCTCATGAGTTAGACCAATCACCGAAACCAAACCATGCAGAGCAAAACTCGCCAACCACAGCGTGCACAGGCCAGGGGGAATATGGACATGTTCCTCTTTCCTCCTTTTTCTTAGTGCTTGCCATTGAGATGTGAATCATGTGTGTCCGGCAGTGTATACATGTGAGAGTGCATATATTACCTGCGTAAGGGCTGAGCACTCCACATATTTCACAGCCTTGAGGTCTCTCGCCAGCTTCTCGGCTGTCTCCGGGGTGATGGGCTTCTGCTTGTTCTTGGCCAGCTTCTCTATAGTAGATGGGTCATCCCGCAAGTCAATCTGAGTCCCAACTAGCAGGAAAGGGGTCTTTGGACAGTGGTGAGTGATCTCTGGAACCCACTGGATACACAAACACAGGGTGTAGCAACAGTCAGCACAGAGAGACACAAATCCAAGTGGGAATTCAATAAGAATGTAAGTACTGATTGGTCACTGATCAGCTCATACACTCTGCAGCAACTGGTATAAGAAAGGTCAGGTAATGTAGTAACCTGTCAAAAGACCAGTGGCAAGAAAAAAAGTAAGGACTAGACTTGCCTTTTCTTTGACATTTTCAAAGGAGGAGGGGGACACGACGGAGAAACAGACGAGGAAGACATCTGTCTGGGGGTAACTCAGAGGTCGTAACCTGTCGTAGTCTTCCTGACCTGGAGAAACGGCACACAAACATGTTTAACTCGCACAGTCAGGCTATGGCGTTACAGGTTAGTACTGGTACATTGGACAAAGAGGGAAATCTGTGTTTGGCAGAATGAGGCAAAGCACCAAGACCTCAGTCCAAAATAAAACACACACCCTACGTTAACAAAAGTTAACTTGTGGATGGTATGTGGTGGAAGAAAGCTCGCAACTTTTCCCATCATTTCTATTTAACGTCATAAAAACACTTCAAAGTACAAAATGTATGTAATAACAATGACTTACTAAAAAATGAAACAAGTGCCGGACTAAGAAACACATACCTGCTGTATCAAACAAGCCCAGAGTGTAGGGCTCGCCTCCGATCATTACAGTTACAGCATAGTTATCAAACACCTACAACACAAAGACCAAAGACAATAGTCAGTCATACATGTTAGAGTTTGACAAATATGGCAAACATATTCAAATATGCATTTAAGAGGCTGACGGTTATTGTGTGTCAATATTAGACGATAGCTTCATTCATCAGGTTCTGCTGATACAGCTCCAGACTGCAGGGAGCTGCATTCAGAAAGGAACTCGATCATACAGCAGCAGACCAACACTGATTGGTCGACCATGCTTTGGTACTTTTAAAGTACAGCAGAGAAAATAGGGCAGATTTCTTGTACTCCATTTGAAGAAGTGTGATGGTCCAGAACAGCGGCTGATCTGGGAGGTTTATCAGGGATGCTAGCTAAAAAGGCTGGGCTAACCTGAATTAACAACAGACTCACTATGAGAGCTTTCTGAATGGCACAAAGACTTTTGATTCTATAGTCTACATGTACAACTACATGGCCTGTAATTAGGTTAATAAGACTGTAATTATTATTTAATTGATATTTCATTATAAGGTGTATCTAACCAAAAACAGTCACTTTCCAAACTTCACACACACACACACACACACACACACACACACACACACACACACACCACACACCACACATTTCTGTTCTGAACTGCTAGAATACTGATACAGTATTTAGTTATACAAACTCCCATATGGATCTTAAATGTAAGTAAATTGTGCAGCAAGCTAATATAGATGGTAGCCAGAATCATATAAACACTGAAATCAACTAACTCTGAAGTAACTTTATCACAACTACAAACGCACTTACAAAGGAGGGACATTTTAGGTCGCATGGGAATTAACAGCATCTGTCAACATCTGTCAGCATGTGGTGACTAACAGCTAGACCAGAAATACATTTACATAAGTTGAAGTCCTGTCTGTCAGGCGTCCACACACTTACCGTAGGTACATATTCAGAGGGAAACTTGTTTGTGGTGTAAGAGATGAGCAGGCAGGTTTTACCCACAGCACCGTCCCCAACTACAACACACTTGATGGTCTGCATAGCTGTGTTTTACAGTCTTCGCTACTCATTCAAGATCTGCAACAGAAAAACAAAACAAATAGAAAGGAGACTTCATTAATGGATGGCCCTGAACGTCAACACATGCAAAGGTAAAAACTTGTGTGTGTAGAGTACTCATCCTCTGTGGCATTCGGAATTCACACCTTTGACTAATTGAATGTTCACATGAAAACAAACTTTGTAGAGAAATTTGTACTGTATTGTACACCGCAGACATTTTGTGTCAGCAGGACACAGTAGAAGAAAAAAGCGTGGGGCTGAGACAAAACAATTCTCAGGGGGAGACCTTGAAAAGCTCAACAAAAAGCTCAAAAGCTCGATTTTCATTACATGCCAATGGCAAACTGTTGGTAAAAGCACATTCCAACATAAACTGTAAACTGGAGCCTGACCTAAAAGAATGCCATTACCTACTTGACATGGGGATGTTTAGGGGGAGATAACCCTGTCCAGATATGATTAATAACTGGAAGTCTGTGATCAAACAGCTTGACACTCATTTGGGGAACAAATGACACATTACACATTTTGTAGCTGTGCTAGCATATCATTGAGAGTGTTTTGGCGGCAGACTCCTCAGAGGTGTCAAGGAACAACAGATCATATGATCTTCCACTGATATTCAACAGGCAGCATAACACAAGTGCAAAGATGGAGTGGGATTGTTTTGGGCTTACTGAAAGAGTGGGCAGTGCTCAGACTGCTGGGCAACACCAAGTAGAACACTAACAAATAACAAGAACAAAGGGAACATACTGTGAAGTATTGACAAAGACAGCCAGAACTATTAGATGAGTGGGTGGCCTCTTAGCTGGATCAATTATCAGAATGAACGCCTGTTTGCAGTGAAAAAAACATTCATTTCATGTTTTTTTCTTTTCAATTTTTAGCATCAATACCAGACATAGAAAGAATACAAATAACAAACCACACCACAAAGCAACAAATACCACAACAACTGGTCTGCATAAGACCAGAGTATGGTCAACAATATCTGCATCCCCTATCAGTTTGGGATTCAAATCTCACCTCTCAACTAGGCAGCGGATCATCTGAACCAGTGACAATTCTATTAAACACGTAAGGCAAAAGGCAAAATTGCCTGTGCAAGTCATACAGACATACTCCACCAAAACAAAATGTGAACCTAAGGCCAAGCAATCAGTTTCAAAATCAGAACAGCAATGTGGTCACTAAAGGTCGCCTGTGGAGCTGCTGCACTGAATGCACTGCGTGACGGACTGGAGTCACACATTGTCACTATTACTGACTGAAAATTAAATGTAGGCCACCTGTCAAGTGAAAAATTTAAACTACAACCGTGAGGTAATTATAGCAAGTAAACCTAAAAAGCCCCGTTGGGAAACTCAATTGAACAGCGCCAAATCATACCAGGAGCTACACTGGCTACTGACTCAGTCCATTGCCGACAGCCGATACATTTGTCCAATCGCCCAAACCTAGTAGCTAGCAGGACTGAATAGCTGTCCTCGGGTTCAGTTCCATTTAGTGTAGCAGAGCCTTTTCAGTGAGCCAACATCATTTTAATGGGCACTTTTTACTTTTAACTGTCATTTTATAGACCAAACAATTAATCAAGAAAATAAATAAAGATAAATAGATAAATCTAAAATGTAAATAATCATTAGGTAAAACTGTATTATTCACAACAGAGCTTTTCCTACTGTGACATGTCAAAATGTCATCAATAAAAAGGCCCATACCGTGAGCGAAATAGTAAATGTTGACCTTGAATCTGTGTCTGTTACAATGTGGTGCATCTTGATGTGCATTTAGAGACAGCATGTGGTATATAGTATGTGGACCACAGTGTTCCCCTGTTTCTCCTCTACAAGTTACAGTATGTCAGCGCTGAGCCACTGCAGAGCTCTGCACCACTGTGTGGGGGTGGGGGTGTCATTGAGAGAAGCAGGGGGGACAAAACTGCAGGCACCAAAATGTTACAGTGTGAACACGGTTCAACAAAAGAACAGAACACAGGTGGATGTCCTGCAGAAACACATGGAAAACAACTGTACCGATTTCTTAAACATACTACCCATTTGCAAAAAAGGCTGCAATTATGTAAGGCCTTTATACTGCATTCAACAGAATGTTAAGTTCAGCTAAAACACAGTCGGAGATGTAAGGCTGATTACACGGTCACTGAATGAAGCTTCAATTTTGATCTGGTCAACATGAGTGTGTTGTCCTGCGATAGATTCATCTGATTTGTCCCAATATCCACCTGCAGGGAGCTGGAAGTGGAATTTCTTACCCATACTCTATGCAACTCTTTATACTTAAAAGGTCTTACTTCAATGTAATCAAACTAGCGCTCGCTGTTGAAACAATTCCCCAGTACTGCTAATGCAAATTTTAATACCAATATGATTTGGTCCATACCTTACAGTGCCGACTATTAACCTATAATGGCCATACAAAACCTTTTAGCCACAGGGTAAATATAATACTTTATCAAGCTACACCAGCAAATACAACGCTTTCCTGACCACGATGTTGTTGTGGGAGAATACATTACAGTACATCTGCTTCTGGTAGTAGCCTACTAATAGATCACACTCGTGCAGGCACAGACTCAGCAGCTCGCAACCTTGCCTAAAGGCCAGTTTCTTAATGGCTCAAGAGACGTTATCCCAACTGCAGAAAGTACTGTGCAGCTAAGGCAAAACACAGATGTGAAAAGGTTAGAGCATGCCACTAGAAAAAAATCAATTAAACCATCCATTGCACAACAGGCTAGAATAATAAGTTAAGACAAGCTCAGTACATTAAATCCAAAAAATAACACCCTCCATGTGCCTATAATGGGTAATTGGTCCTCCTCAGACACTGAATGGGTAATATTGCTGTTTCAACTGTCTGTAACGGTGAGGTTTGTGTTTGCTTCTAAACATTAAGCTGTTATGGTTCAATTTCATAGTTGACTATGTTCCAAACCTGACTGATGTGTGATTATAATGAGGCCTTTGCAGGACAAGTGGAGGATGCTGCGGATGTCACTTTGCAGTCTGATTGGTCCTTACCCTCACTAATAGTCGCCTCGAGAACCCTGTACCGGCTATGATACATTTTCATGAGCAGTGCAGGATAACAATCCTGTCTCACTCCACAGAGACAAGAGTTTAATTCCCAGTTGCGCCGCCTGCAAGGCAACTGCAAATGTTTGTACCTGCAGCTGTACAAGTGAATTCTACAGGTTTATAACACCTGAATGGATAAACTTCTCACCGATAGGTGATGTTAGCAATTACAAGGACTGCAACCTGTGAGCAGCTGGAATAAATGGAATTTTAAAATCTTGGGTGACATGTCTGGCAATTTGATAAATGGGCTCACATGAGGAAGGAAACACCAACATGTTAAATTGCACATTTACAGAAAGAAGTGCATGTCTAAAAGAGGAATTTGAATCACCCAACACCTTGTGATACAATCATAATGATCCAACAGAACACTTTGGGTGCCATAATCGGTTTGTTTGACAATTTGAAAGCCCAGTAATTAAATCTTAATCAAAGTATTTAAATAACAAAATAATTGGTGACTTTTAGTTGAAAATTAAACTTGAAAGCCTCCGCTGTATATAACCAGTGCTGGCTTTGTGTTTTCAGGTTAGGTGTTGCTTTCCTACACCTCACAGTGTCTTCTAAACTGTGGTCACTGCTACCTGGACAATTAGCCAAGTGTTCCTACTGTGGAGCATACTTTGGTGTATGTGTTATAAACATGTGCATAAGTTGGGCTCATAGTTCAGGCTTTTACATTTTACATCAAGCAGCCACAATAAGTGTTGTTACTGGGTTGGGTATTTAGGTGATTTTCCAACACACAAAATCAAAGAAGCCTGTGGCTCAGGCACCAACTCAACCAACTGTTGAGCAAGGGGAAACCCTGCCATTGTCTGGAGGAATCCTTTTACCACTTTGGCTAGTAAAAGACCAGCTAGTTTCACTGCATGGTGATCACTGTTACATCCAATACAACAGTGTATGAACTGAAGTATGATACTGCCCCGCAGGGCCAATATGATTTTCATGGAACAATGTGACTGTCAAAAATGTCTTCAAATAGGAGGAATCAAATACTTACAAACTCTAAGCTAAACACTGCAGTAAGCCGTTGGCCATGGGCTGCGGCTGCAATAATGCTGCCAGACTTAATCCACGCATTTGTGTTTGTAGGCCAGCAAGCATTCTGAGGGCAGACCAGCTTAAAGACTGGTAGTGAAAGCAGCTGAAATTCAGTTCAATGTGGCAGTTTATCTGTAACACAAAGCCCCTAATTTAAATGAACTGTATGTCAGGCACTACATCTAGACCTGAGCATTGTGCATTTCTGTTGAAAGCGGAATGCTTCTACCAACCACAGAGCCAAGCATTACTGCATCCGCACAGCTTCACGTCTGCGAGGTTACGACTGGCATTACATCGGATTTAGCAACACATCCTCAAAGATTGGCCACAGCTTCCTTCCAACTTCATCTCAAACAAAGACTCAATGAAGGGCTCAAGCACAGGCTTGATGGGTAAAATCCTCGGACATCTGGCCGTTTGAAACGTGACACAGCCAGACCTCAAGTCAAAGAGATCGATCACAAGCATTTTCTTTTGACATCGACATCAAATCTATGACGACTTGTCCAAACATTGGCTGTCTATTGCATTAGAGTCCTCGCAGCTTATGACATGTCCACATATGCGACCACAAGCAATGGCAGAAATTGTTACCGTCAGCCTGTATGCCTAATTATCGCTAATTAATAACAAAAACATTTCAAGATCACATCGGAGAGATGGCTTCCCCTACCAGCTAACTACTGTTAGCCTGGATGTATTAGCCTTAGCTGCTGTATTCCGGCCACATCCCCGGCCTCAATCTGGCCTAATTTCCTGCCGGCTGTTTAAACTAACGTTAAATGTACTAACTTAGCTGCCTCTATTTTGACCCAAGCTATTGTTGTGAAGCTTTATCGTAGCACTCAAACACTGCGCTGTCCAAACACAGTCCGAGAGACTGCTTTCATTAATAAAAACAGAACCTGGCGTTTGTTACGCCTCTTTATTCAGGTCGTGAACCAGCTAACCCCTAGCTAGTAGTTAACTACTTTATCTTTTGCTAACGGGCTTTAGTTAAAGGCGAAGAGGCGTCAAATCTACCGACACTAAAATCACCAACAATTTCGCTGTAAAATGTGGTTGTACACAGTCCTAAGATGTTTATTTACCAGCCGGTCTAATGTTACAGACTAACGTTTACTGTCCTCCCCAACTGGCTTGCTAGCTAGCTAACAGGCTGAGCTAATCTTAGCGGATGCTGTTGCAAAATCAGATATTTAGTTTGACAATTAAAACCCATGTACCACAGACGTGTAGTATATATTATGCTGAACACATTCAAACTAAAATCAACCACAGTTCTATCCCAATAATACAAAATATCTTTTTTTCCGTACCGTATACTCTGTTTGTGTCTTTACGCCGGGCGTTGGCAGCTCCGCGCTAGGGGCTTCCCAGTCAATAGAACAGGGACACGCTGCGTGCGTAGTGAACCACTACGTAATTACGTTAATCAATTTAGCGACAAGCAGGCTACTTTTCTCAAACTAATACCAAAAACATAACAAGCAGCATGACTACTTAAACAGGTAGGTAGCTGTTTCCATATTGAAGAACATATGTGATTAATGGTACTCTGAAAACTGAATTTCGATTTCTGAAAATGAACTGAATAAAACGCTGTTTATAAATAAAGTATTTGATAACACAGTTAAGAATGTTTCACCCACTTTGTATGAGACATTACATTAAAGGGATTTGTCCCTGTATCTATGTCAATCCAGTTAAACGAATGTTTCTTCAAGCTTATATTGGTAGCCTGTATAGAGAATGAACAATCTGGACATGTGCTTGGATCGTGCTCCATACGTTTTGTTGCATTTGACTAAATTTGTTTGCATGCTTCATCCAGTGTTTGTAACCCTTTTACGTACATTATCATTTCCATGTTTCACAGCATTGAATAGAACATTATAAGAAATGGTCACATTACAAAACACAATGTACTCAGTCCTGTTAGGCTTTATAGGAGCTGTGAGTTTGACCTACATAAGTACATGGCAATAATGTTGTCTGCCACTAGATGGCACTGCAGCCCAATGACCTAAATACTCATGCAACAAGTGAGGGTTACAAACATTTAGTGGAAGTTAAAATACACAGACATCAGCTAAGGAAAAAAAAAAAACTTTATTCTCAAAATGGAAACATGTGGTAGAAAGAAACAATTACAATATTCATGTTATATAAACACAAACATACTCAACATCATTTGCAAAAACAAAACAAAGGGAAAATATTTCTTTCTAGGAAAGGTAAGATTTGTAGGCATCCATTGTCCTAGCTGGACACACTCTGCAGCAAGGTAATGTTGTCTCCTTTCAACATGATCCTCCCTGGGAGACAGAGGAAGAAAGAGAGAGAAACCCAAGTGGAGGTGGATCAGAAGAGTAAGATGATGGATGGAAAGAGATACAAAGTGTCAGTTCACTTTTGGACAAAGGATTGAGTCCTAATCAAGATGGCTACAAATGACAGGGAATCTAGTGACAGTATGTGTCGGATCAGGAGCATGCTTGGTTTCTCACCACTAGCCATTCCCCTCACAGTTCAGGTGTGTTTGTGTCTGCGGTGAAAAAGGTCCATTTGTGCAGCATCATAACTGAGGTCCCTAACACCCCATTTACACCCGCTATTAAAATGTGACCTGTATCCGGACACGTTGTCCTTACAGGGAAAAACAAATCATAATGCAAGGTGTAAATGCGTTGTGATCGGAATGTGATCAGATCTGCCTGACCACATCCAAAGTTAATCTGGTTTCACTTTGTGTGTGGATCTTAGGTAGGTGTAAAGGCAATCCACACAACGTACTGGCATCCATACACTGCCAAAAATGAAATAAGTATGCTGCAGTGTGAGCTGCCATCGTCTGTGAGAAAGGGGTCATGTGCTGATATCCATGTGTACAAATCACTGCTAAGCAAAGCTGCAAAGTGTCCAAATTTAGGGTGCCCTTACCCAGCGGCTTCCTGTTCTTAGTCTTCATGTGGACTTCCTCAGCATCATCTAGAACCAGGTTCATGTACTCATCAAAACCCTAAGACAAGGAGGGAACAGCGAGTCGAACATTAGTTTCAATGGGCCCCATTTAGGAACATTCATATTCTCATCCTAATATATTCTTCAGTTAGTTTTGCTTTTACCGGATTCACCCACTGCAAAAACTCCTAATAAATGGCTCGTTTCAACAGAATGAATGCGGCCTGTTCCTAACGAGGTTGCACATTTGTGAGATTTGATCATTAGTATAATCAATGCCCCAAAACTGCCATACAAGTACGGATAGATATCTTTTTTTCAAGAGTGGATGGGTTAACAACGCTGTCGTATGGGAGGTGAAAAACAGGAATATCTTCATAATCAAAGCAAACGTGAGTGTTACTAGTTAGCTAGCTAATGTTACCCGCTAACGTTTGCATGTTTGTAGCTATACACAAAGTGACATCTGTTCCGTTGTGTGATGAAGTCTTCATCTGAATATGTGCACCCTGCCTGCCGACGAATGACAGCTTGATAAGTAACGTTAGTTTAAAAAAAAACCTTATGCCAACTAGGCTGTGTCATGTATGGCTAACAGGATGTCAAACATTGTAGCCTACCTGCTCATACACTCCACATAGCATCAGACAACAGACAAGAGCAGCTGGGGCAGCAAAATGCCTTTAATCCTGTTAGCAATCTGTTAGGTTGTAACGTTAATGTAGTAGTAATAACTGTACCATAGTATGTATGCAAAGTAACTAAGTAAGGGTTTCGTTGCTGGAGAACGATGTTCCTGCCCACCAGATAGTAGTTGTGACGTCATGTGCAAAGTATGAATTGGCTGAGACTAATGTGACGAACTAATTGTGATGCCTGCAAATAAAATAAAAGCAGCTTAGTTGTATATGCCGCTTCCAAACAATATCTATGTTTTGCCATAGTAGACATTTGTATTCCACGTTATTAGAGATGTAGACAAAAGGGGAAAAGTCATGGGGGTCAGTGACAGGAGCCAACAGATCCTGGCTAAAATATGGAGCTCAAAAGGTTCAAAAAGGCTTCAAACTTGAGTAAATTATTTTCAGTCAAATAATGCAGCATGCAGTTTTATGGCATGTAAATAATATTTTTGGCTGACAAATTGTCTCAAAGCCTTTAAAATCACATCTAGATTGTGGCTATAAATGCAATTGCAAGTTTACAGAATTCCTTTGTACCCTCAGCAATCAATGTATATTGTCACTGTATTTTAGCAGCGGTTCATACTAACATTGATTGCATGTTTTCACCATGATTACCCTGTGATTGCTGAGAGGGACAGAGCTGGCAGAATTGAATGGTGTAGTTACACTTTAAGGCTTGCTTTGAAAAGGGATAAATAGAGACTTTAGCTATGAATGACGAGTGAACTCGACAATAATGAGGATCATTTCATTTTAAATATTAAAAGATTATATTCAAACTCAAGCATATTCCTAACTTTGAAAACATGATTAAAATTAATCATTTCCAGACCTTCAAGACATTGAACCAAAACTGTTCACAGTAGATGCACTTTAATCAGGACAACCGCGTATTAGGATAAAGCTGCGTGTGAAAAATAAGGTGTGCCAAAGTTAACTACTGCTGTTTCAATGTGCCAGACACATCAACACTTCATAGAGTGTTATTATGAACATTTCTTTTACTACATTTAATGGGCATCTTTCACACACAAAAGTCTTATAAAAAGGACTTGAGCTCAATCTCTCATTTTCAAGTTTCACCATTAATTACCACTACAGATTTCAGCTCAATCTTTTGAGGTGTACGTAAGTCTAACAGTGAACCTAAATTAATTCACTTTGGGATTTGATAAGCTTTAGCACTGAAATCTGAATAAGTCAACTGATTTAACACTGGATTCAGATTGGATGAAATGTTATCAAAGCCCAACCAGAATAGCAACGCCTTACAAGAATTAGCAGCTGCTCAAGATATATTTTTTAAAACCCATCCTGACTTCAACACCGGTTCCTGGATGATATTTTTTCGAAAAGAGAATACAGCTTACATTACGGTACAATTACTGGGTTCATAGGGAGGAAGCTGTTGAAAAGGTTTGCACTGTGCACGTTACTCAACCTGGATAACCGGACTAAAATTAAGAAACTGATTGGACTATATAAAAACTATAAATAACTGTCAGAAGGAACATTAATTAACAGTATGGAAGCAATGCATCTAGTCTAATCCAAAGGGATGATTGTGTGGGGGATGTTTATGGTACTGAGAAACAGAGCAGAGTGAGACCTCTTACTGACTCTGTGCTAAAGATATACACTGTCAACTTTCGGTGTGTTTCTCTCCTTTTACCTGTTGGTCTGTAAGCAACCCAATGCCTTCAGAAACAGTCTCTGACCCCACTTTGGCTAGGAGAGGGCACGCCGCGGTTTCAATCCCATCAGATGATGGGGGTGAACAGACTCCGTGACAAGCAGATGCAAGTTAGCTGCACTGGCTAGCTGACAAGCTTCACAAAGTTCACTTAGTTGCTGGTGCACATAAGTTGCTCAAGCAAAAAGTAAGGGGCATAAACAGTGTTTTTCCTGCACGCCCCTAAAACGTGTAACATCAGCATGACAAGTGTTACTCCTTTGATATCGAATGACAAGATATGTTTTGATACTGAGTATCGACGCTCGTAAGTCTGATACCTTGCCCTATGCATTCCTGTCCTCCGGTCCCATGTGAAGCTTATATTTATAAATTCTTTAGTAATCTTTTAGTCAAATCAGCTTGCCCCTGCATCTTGCTCACACTGTACAGTATATTTAATGTTAAAAAAATATGCATTGTTGTTATTTCTCAAATTACAAGTGTCCCAAAGAAAATACAAAAATAAATAAATGAAATCAATGCAGAGAGAACTGTCCCATTATGGAGCTCCCAAAGGTGCCTTCAGTGTGGATGAATCCAAAAATGTCAGGCTGGTTTTTAGCATGGACTTTTACAAAATGAAAACATAACCGCTTAGACAGTCAGAGGATGTGTGACAAACTTTCTGCTGCCTCAACTCATTCCCCTTGTCACTGACTCGATTTATACAGGTCTGGAAACTTAAAAGCATATGATGTTCCTTTATTGATAGGGGAAATTCAAAAATAATAAAATAGCAATTTAATCTCAGTGCAGCAATAACTACTATAAAAAGGTGGGGCTCAAATCCAAACAATAAGTTCTTTTGTTTTAGCATCTCAATGCGGATAAAGAAAAAAAAAAGACTTTTAGTGTGCTTGTTGTTCACCTCAGATTTAACAGCTTTAGTGTGGATATGTTCTCAGAATCTGCACCTTTCAGCATACTTACTGTTCTTCACCACCGACTACTCCACACTGCCCATTCGCCACAGAGTATGTTAATTAAATGACCGGGAGAAATCAAAGACATCAAACATTGTACTACTTAAAAAAAATAATTCTAGTTAAATAAAACAGAAATAAAGAGCAAAAGATTACTCACAATGATGCAGCCCTCTATCCGCATGTTCACCTGTTCATACAACCAGACCTGGATCCGTGAGCGCTGGGAATGAGGAGAGGGAACAAGAGATCAGGATCCATTTCCTTCATGCATCACACAAAACGTGTCAGAAGGAACGTTAGAGAAATGTTTCATTCAATACTTACGTTTTGTAGATACCTGAAAATAAGGTTCTGATACATGGAGTCAAGGAAATTCACTTTTTCAAAAGCGCGCACACACACACACACACACACACACACACACACACATATATATAAACTGAATATGTTCACGTAGAGGGTTAGTGCACATATAATGTCGCCTGGTCGCGTTAAAGACTTTGTACGCTATACACCAAGGTAAAGTACAACTCAATTTTCGTGATAAGCATATTTCATCCACTTTACATCAAACTCACTAAGTAAGTAATTCAAGTTGTAACGTAACGTTACGTAGACCCTGGACGCTCCTTTAGCGCCACAATGCAGAATACCAGAATTACGTTACTAGTTTAGCGCGGTAGTTAAGTCCGTTAAATGCACTTCAATCAAACAGACGTAATTTTTTGTTGTACATAAATACACAATACCCAGTTCGTAATATGCCATTATACCATATATCTATGCAAAGCTCTTCCCTTCTTCACACCCGTGTGAATGGGGAAATGAATGGCTAGCCAGCTAACAGAAAAGATTAGCCTAGCTGCTAAGTTGTTGTAGCAAGCATTGAACCGCGGCTCTCGTACATGAACACAAAGGATACAATGGGCTGCACCATAACCTTCTGGACCTTCTGTCCTTGTCCTCTGTACGCCATCCCTCCAACAAAATACCAGCAGTAGGTATAAAAGGAAAAAAATTGCACCCGTGTAATGCAGTGCACTTTAACGAAACGCTCACGTTGTGAGGTTGCTTCAATGGCGGGTCTCCTTCCGCGTGCGCTGCCAGTTGTGATAAAGGGGGTCGCGTGATGTGAAAGAGCGCCCCTGCAGGTGGGAGGCCATTACTGCACTTACTTGTTGCTCCACAAACAATATACAGGTGTGCTCCTGCAGACATTTCATTTGGCAAGCTGACAATTGAAAAATGTATTCACGAGCAAGCACTGATATCAGAAGTAATCTCTGTGGTTGTACTGTATCAACCCACCGCAGCCAGCGTTTGTTGTCATGGCGCACAGGCCATAAATAGCCTACCATTTGTGCCATAAAGCTCCAAATCCGCCATCAAAGCCACAAACCACTGTCAATGTCTTCTTGCTGCTATTTATGATAACGGCAATAAAAAAAACGGCAGAATGGCAATAAGCATTGTTAAATCATTCTTAAGCCTGTGACATTCACTTGTAGTGTACTCTAAAAAGTGTAATGAAAATGAAAAATATAGTCTTTTTCTGTGAAATTTACAGAGGTTCTCATGCAAGGTGGTTCCAATACATAGTTTTGACTAGTGAGGGCCCTGGTACAGCCTTATTAGTACATTTAAGAACAGTTCAGTTTATTTTAATTTAATGTATTATTATTACACATATACAAATATTTATATTTGGGGTATTTGTGCAGCTTTTAATATGTTGCCTGAAATTATTTTTTTCAGCCATGATCAGATCAACCCACCAGGTGGCCTCATGAGAAACAATATTTTATTATGGCTCCCTTTCACCCACGATGCTGCCACTATTGTGATTTGTGCACTGTTTCTGGGCCCGGAGCCTTTTTTAAAGTTTTGATATAATCTGCATCTGCATATATTCTCTGCATGTATTTACACTTTTGTGGCTTTCAGGGCCCTTTATGGCCCAGCTCCCATCTGCCTGACATGCCCAGTGCTTGTTGCGAGCATGTGGATAACACTGGTTTCTCTACTCTCTATTTTATTTCTCTATTACTTTCACTTACATAGAAGGAACCTCAAGGAGCGAGTGAGCAGCTTTCAAGTGATTGCATGATAAATCAGATTACACTACATCTGCCCCACTGTTCATTCCCCCAAAAAATCCTTACACTCCTTTAAAAAGTTCATTTTATTTGTATGGAATCCATATCTCCCCTGGCAATTCACATGTAGAGTTAGTACAATAATAAATATAATATGAATACGTATTAATAAGGAAATTGTTGATAAATGCAAATGAAAAGAAAAATAAATGGTGTTACATTCGATCAAATGTTCAAATCAAATGATTCATGTGTGCCCACTTCTGTCTTTTTAGTGTAGTCATTTAGGATTCTTAGTATTTTTTTAATTAGTTAGAGATGGAATAAATAATTGTTATTCTTAAGTTTGCAAGTAGGAATAAAAATGAAGGAAATGTCACTATTAGTAGTTGATGAATACAGGTCCAAAACAATTCCCAGGTGTTGTCCTCTAGAGGGTGCTGTGCCATATCAAACCTTACAACAGACACTGGATCAGCATTTTGATAAATGTCTGTTAAAGTGAACTCTGGGCCAAAATAAATTAAATGAAAAAAATCAGCATTCACTCCTGATCAGGCATTTGTCTCTTACATATTGGCTCGAATTTTTAGATTTAGATTCTAGAAAATCCTTCTTTATTCTCAGGAAACACCAGAGTCAAAGCACACCTCCAGCTTTTTGGCCAAGAAGAAAGTGTGTTGCCGTCATAGCAGCCTGCATCTAACCATAATTGGCCAAGGTATTCCCTCTGATATTTATAGATGGTATTATATAAAGCAGGATTGGCAATTTCTCTGTTGTGCACAATATACCTGTAACATGATGAGTTGAGTCAGAGAGGCCAGCCTTGAGTGTGCAGTTAACAATAGTATTAATAACATATAACACAGGCTTGTCCCCCTGCTCAGAGGAGAAAGTGTGATGGAAATTAGCAGCCGAGGACAGACAAGAGTCCGCAAGTGGGGGGAAAGAAAAGACGCAAGGAGCCTCGGTGGCACAGGCCGGGGTGTCACCTTTCAGGGCAGGGACCCCTCGGCTGCATCTTAAAAGGCAGGGCTGCTGTGGCTTGTGGTGGCGTGCGTCGCTCATCGGGCATCGCTGTCAAGTGCCACATGCTTGTCTTTGTGCTATGAGAGCAGGAATGGGCTGCTGACTCTCAATGCCACGCGCCTGCTCACATTCTCAAGGAAGACTGAGAGAAGGGAGACACTGCAGACACTGGCACTCCAGCTGGCCGCCATGGAGGCCTTGGAGTCAAAATAACAATGAGGAGGCTAGTATTAACATGTACACACAAGTGTGCGGTGGCTGAAACTGCCCAGTCCAACTTATTCACAGCCAAGGTCATATTGGCATCTTCTGAAATCTGTCGGGACAGAGCTCATAATAATAAAATCTGGCAGGATAAAATAGAATTAAGGTGGAAAAACAGATATAAATGTAATAAGAGTTAATGAGTGAGTAGGATTTAGTGGTATGTAGTTGCAGATCGTAACGCATTTGCTTCACATTCCCTTTCCAAGTGCAAGAGAGAAATTACGGCGGCCGTGAAACATGTGAATAACGCCAACGGCCCTATCTAGAGCCAGTTTATGTTAATGGATCAACATGGCAGCCTCCACACAAGGCGACCCGCAGTGTCTGCAGATAAAACGTCTCATTCTAAGGTAACGAAAACAAACACAATGATTCTTATTTTCAGGTGATTCTACTCTAATGAAAACACACCTATGAATATTATATTCCATTTCTGACAATAGATCCTCCTAAATGTTACACACTGGACCTTTAAAATAAACTCTTTCCCCTGATACATCCCCTTACACATACTGTAAGTCCCTACTGAACACCACAGACACCGTAAGACTCTACTGGAATATTCTATAAATAGGAAAGTACACACACACACACACACACACACACCCAAACAGGATACCCTGCCACTATTTGTCATGTGTGTGTTTTCTATCTTTTTTAATTTCCACGCCTGTCTTTCCTACCTTCTCTTTCCTCGTCTGACCCAGCCAAAGGAATTGCCCTGGTTAGATCAACCTCCTCTCCACGTCACTTCCTGTTCCTCTTGGTGGCGATTGTTCTGAGGGGAAGGGAAGGCAGACGGGATGGGGAAAGAGGAGGAGGGGCTGGTGGTGGTGGTTCTTTGTTTCACTATCTGCTTCACCTGCCTAACCCCCACCTGACAGGCTTGACCCCTGCAGGCCTGGTAGAGCCAGCCAGACAACCCGCTGGCTGTCTGTTTCCTGCCTTGCTGACTGACAGGATATTCATAGCGTGCTTGGAACACAGTTGGACTTGGTCTGAGCAGATATTGGCCTTTTTTTATTATGTAACTTATTATTGGATGCTGGAATAAAACTCTGAGGGGAACCGCTGTATACTTGAATATGTATACTTACTGTGAGGGTAACTGATACCCACACACAGAGGACAATCAGCAAATGTACCCTGGCATGTGTGTCTCAGTTTGTCTTTGTTTTCTTACATTACTCATAGTGTTCTGACTCCTCCTCTGTTAGCTGATGCAGACTGAATTGAAGCATTGTTTATTAATTTGAGGAAAACGTGTGGTAAACAGGCATGAATATACAGCTCTCCAGCTGCAAATGGGTTGTACCTGTAAATATTAATACAAGTTAGTGAGTGACAATCCAATTGCAAACAAAAACGGATAATCCGACATTCACACCAAATCGCGCAGATGGCAGTGGCTGTATCTGGGATATTTTAGCTACATTTCTGTACAGTGGGAGGAAGTGGTGATGCAACATCCATCTTTTATATGTCAATGGTCCTTGCAAATAGGTGATGATAGAAGCATGGTGATGTGTAGTGACGAATCCACTAATTGTGCATTGCTAGTGAAATGAACCGATTATGGTACATTTCACAGCTTTTAAATGCCAGCGTGGTCAGACATTATTTGTCTTGTAGAGTATGACCATAAACTTAAAACTTTGCTTCTTTTTCTGCTTGTGTTATTATTAAAACAGATTTTTGTGGTTTTATCATAGCAATACAAACGAAGAAAACACACACCTCATCAGCAGACATTTTTGTTGTTTCCTGCTTAATTTGTTTTGAGTTTCATTTTAATTTTAAGTGTAAAGGCTACGCACTACATAGTGCCCCTGGAAATGTCCGAAATTCAACAAAAGAAGAAGTCTGTGTCTCCCTCACTACTCCATATATAAGAGACACTCAATATCTTATCGTATAGTGAGCAGTAAATTAATTTTATATAGATTAGATATAGATTTCAGACACTTTTTACATCAAGCGATTATCATGGCCACCATAGTTTCTCCTACACACTTCACAGTCTGCTCTCAAACCTAGGCTGTCAAGTACAGACGCGAGCATTGTTCAGTTGGTTGCAATCTGCAAGATGCCATTAAATCGTACACACTGGTTCTTTATCAAAGCAGCCTTCTGAGTACCTTCGCAGAGTCATATCGGTAATCAGTGAACTTCCCCCCTCTATCTGCCTCAAAAGTCAGTTGGGTTCTAATTGTAACGTATTGCACTGCGGGATGACATAGACACTGCTCTCTGCATTGCATTGTGGGAATATTTGACAGCACTAGTGCTTCAATTACACCCTCGGCATGAACTCAAATAAAATAGCGGAGAATAAACGTGTAGTGTTTTTGGACACAACTTTATAGCTTGTACTCAACCCCTCTCTGCTTTAAGTCCCACAATGCAATGCAATTTGTTGCATGTATAATTTAGGGTTATGCACGTCAATACCTCCTAGTAATGACTCAAAATGATTATGACTCATAAAGGGCAAAATACACTGCTTGTGTCAGACGTGTCAAAGATCCTGCACCCCTTATCATTATTATTATTAATAATATTATTATTATTATTATTATTATTATTATTATGGGGGATTTTTTGGCTGTTATTGGACAGAACATCTCAAGACAGAAAGGGAGAAGAGAGAGAGGGGATGATACACAGCAAAAGTTCACAGGTCGGACTCGAACCCATGGCCCCAGCAGCA